GGAGGAGCAGGAGGAGGCAGGAGGAGAAGGCGGAGGAGGAAGAAAGGAGGGAGGAGAGACGGAGGAGAAACGGGAGGGGAGGGGAGGGAGGAGGAATGAGGAGAAGAGAGGATAAAGGAGGGAAGGTGGAGGGAGGGCGGATTGAGGTGAGAGGAGGGTGGAGCCAGGAGGCTGCAGGCTGGAAGAGGTAGGAGGGATGAGAGAAGAGTTTGGTGAGAGGATGGGTATTGAGAAGACGAGGATGAGGACGAGGAGGAGTAAATGGATATGGATTTGGGGGATGATATGAAAGAGGAGGAGGGGGAGGAAGAAGAGAACGAGGAGGGGGGGCAGCAGGATGAAGACGAGGAGGAGAACGCAGGCACTTGGAGTTCTGACCTCGGCGGCATTCGCGACCATAGCCTTGGCCCTGTTCGGCGACCGGAGCGCCGTGCTGGACTTCTGGTCCGGGTGCCACTGGCTTAGCGAGGGCGTGGTGTGCCTCTTCGTTGCGGCAGTTTGCCTCGTGCTCGAGGCGCAGTCGTTCTTCTACGCAGCCATATCACACAGCCTCCTCTCGCACGCCAGCCATCGATTGCTGCTGGCCAGCCTGTACTTGTGGTTGGGAGCCTACTCCGTGGGCGGCCGCATCCAGCAAGGGTCAGAGGTCTGGAGGACGTTCGGAAAGGTCACCGGCGTCATCGCCTGGGTAGTGGCTGTTGGCGACGTGAGCATCTCGCCATGCTACATCGCGAAGACAGACCCCGAGCCAGAGGTGGTCACCGAGCACGTGACGGTGCCCGCCTCCGCTGTCGGCGCAGTCTGGGGCCCCCAGACCTCGACCAAGCACCGGCTGGAGCGCGACCACGGGGTCCGGCTGAAGGTGACCTCCGGCAGCCCGACCTCTGGAGCCAGCTCGGAGGCGACGGTTGAGGTCTCTGGACGCAGGTGGGACGGGGATGAGCACGAGGAGGAGGAGGAGGAGGAGGAGGAGGAGCAGGAGGAGGAGGACGAGGACGAGGACGAGGAGGAGGAGGAGGAGGGCCAGGAACCCTGGATTAACCGCAGGGCCGCGAGGTATGCCAGAGCGTTGCTCCTCTCCGGGGGCCACCAGAGCGCGAGATGATAACGGTGCGCAGCGCTAACTTGGTTGACCTGGGGGCCGTGCGACACCGTGGTGTTCCGATGGGGCCGCCCCCCCTGGCGCCCCAGGAGTCGCAAGACCCCCGCACCTCGATCGGCCTCGGGACCCCCTTTGCGCCGCGGGCACATGCGCTCGACTTCGAGCGCCCGATGGGTTCGCGCGTCGTTTCGGGGGGGATCTCCAGCGCAGGGGCGAGAACCCGGGGGGCCAGGAACAAACTCTACCAGATGGTGAGGTGGCACCGCTGCCCCACGAGATGCCTTCTCCCGGCACGCTTGAGATATCGAGAGGCTCTTTCGTCAGGCTTTCTGGTGAGGACGCCCGCGTGGTTGAAAGCGTCCCCCTCGCATGTGTGTTCCTGGCGAGTGCTGCCCCCCACCCATCATGAGGCCGTCGGCCTGCACTGCCGCCGCCGCCGAGATCCACCAGCTGGTGCAGGCCGCGTCGGAACGGGGACGCCCATCGAAGGAGAAAAAGCGCCACAAGCACAAACTTTTGGCGCTCCGCGCGGATTTCTTGGATCCGCGCTGTGCCCCCCCCGGCGGCGACGGAGGCGCCGCCCGCGGCGCGCTCCGCGCGCCAGGGAGGGGGGGGGTCCAGCGCGGAGCCAAGAAATCCGCGCGGAGCGCCAAGAATTTGTGCCTGTGCCTTGTTGTGTTCCTCTAGTTCAGCCATTTTCCCGAAGTCAGCCTTAAGTCGGGCAGGTTCTTCTACAGGAGGAGAACATCCCAGAATGGTCCAAAAATAGTCTGGGGACGATTTCTCTGCTACTCTTGCCCACCCTTGAGCATTTTCGTTGGCCTTTGTTGGCGTTTCGCCCCAAAATCCGCCTTAGGAGGAAATGGCGCTAATGGTATAGTCGAAGAGTCTACAGAGACCAAAGTACCCTAATAAAAAAAAGTCCGCCTGTAGGAGGACACGCCCGACCTAAAGTCAGCCCCGCCTCGCTTCGGCGACCGCGGCTCCGACCTCAGCCCCACCTCGCTGCGGCGCTCGGAGACGTGCGGCGCCCGGCTCGCGCTTGGCGGCTACCTGCCGAGCCTCCCGGCAGCAGAGGCGGGCCCCGCCACCACCGCTGGTGCGGAGGCCACCCGGCAGGCCGCCGGGGAGGGGCAGGAGGAGGAGGAGGAGCAGGGGAGGGAGGAGGAGGAGGAGGAGGAGGAGGAGGAGGAGGAGCAGGGGCATGGGCAGGAGCATTGACCAGGCAGGGCGGAGGCAGGGATGCAGGGAGGAGGGAGGGCAGGGAGGAACGAGGAGGGGGGTGGTGAGGGGTGATGGGCGAAGGGTGAGTCGAGGAGGGAGAGAGCGAATGAGGAAACGGTAGATGCTTGACGATGATGATGATGATGATGATGATGATGATGATGATGATGATGATGATGATGATGATGATGATGATGATGATGATGATGATGACGACGGTGATGATGATGATGATGATGATGATGATGATGATGATGATGATGATGATGATGACGATGCTGATGCTGATGCTGATGCTGATGCTGATGCTGATGCTGATGCTGATGCTGATGCTGATGCTGATGCTGATGCTGATGCTGCTGCAGATGATGATGCTGATGTTGTTGCTGCTGGTGATGACGATGCTGATGATGATGATGATGATGGTGATGATGGTGATGGTGATGCTGATGCTGCTGCTAATGATGGTGCTGTGGATGATGCTGATGATGTTGATGCTGATGTTGACACTGCTGCTGCTGATGCTGATGATGATGATGATGGTGGTGACGACGATGCTGACGATGATGATAATGTTGAGGGCGGTGACAGTGCTGATGCTAACGATGATGATGATGATGATGATGATGATGATGATGATGATGATGAGGATGATGATGATGATGATGGAGAAGATGATGATGCAAATGATGATGATGATGGTGATGCTGATAATAATGAAAATGATGGTGATGATGGTGGTGATGATGGTGACGATGCTGATGATGATGATGATGATGATGATGATGATGAAGATGCTGACATTGCTGATGATCATGATGCTTATGCTGATGATGGTGATGATGAGGATGGGGATAATGATGAAGGGAAGGACGACAAGGACGGTGATGACGACGCGGGTAATAGTAAAACGAATACCAATAACAATACTGATGATTACGATAATGCTGCTGATACTGATGATGACGATGTGGATGATGATGCTGATGATGATGAGGGTGATGAGGATGAGGATGAGGATGATGATGATGATGATGATGATGATGATGATGGTGATGATAGTGATGATGTTGGCGATCCCGATGATGCTGTTGATGATGCTGATGATGATGATGATGATGCTGATGACGGCGATGATGATGGTGATGATGATGATCGTGATGATGATGACGATGAGGATGATGATGATGACGATGGTGTTGATGATGATAATGATGATGATGATGATGATGATGATGATCATGATGATGATGATGATGATGGCGATGCTGATGCTGATGCTGCTGATGATGATGATGCTGATGCTCTTGCTGCTGCTGATGATGCTGATGGTAGTGCTGATGGTGATGGTGATGATGGTGATGGTGTGGATGACAGTGAAAGTGATGGTGACGGTGATGATGATGGTGGTGATGATGTTGATGGTGATGGTGATGATGATGATGATGATGATGAAGTTGATGATAATGATGATGATGATGATGATGATGATGATGATGATGATGATGATGATGATGATCATGGTGATGATGATGATGATGATGATGATGATGATGATGATGATGATGATGGTGATGATGATGATGATGACGATGCTGCTGATGCTGATGCTGATGATGATGGTGATAGTGATGCTGATGGATGATGAGGAGGAGGAGGTGTGGATGATAGTCATGATGGTTAATGGAGCGAGGGAGGCAGGGAGGGGGGTGGATGAGGGGGAGGACGAGGACGAGGAGAAGAGGGACGAGGACGAGAACGATGACAGAGAGAGAGGGAGTGTTAGAGATAGAGAGAGAGAGAGAAATGGATGGATGGAGGGAGGAAAAAGGATGGGGGGAGGAGGAGGAGGAGGAGGAGGAGGAGGAGAAGGAGGAAGAAGCGAGGCCGAGGACGAGGTGGAAGAAAGGTATGACGTGAGGGGTGAAGCAGTAGCAGGTTCAGGAGCAGCGATGAGCAGAGGAGAGGAGGAGAAAAGGGAGGAGCAGCGAGGAGAAGAACGAAGACGATGAGGAGGTGGAGGATGATGAGGAGGAGGGGAGGAGGAGGAGGAGGAGGAGGAGGAGGAGGAGAAGGAGGAGGAGGAGAACAGGACGAGGAGGAGGAGGAGGAGGACCAGTGTAAACCCAACCTCCCTCCAAGATCCCTCTCCATAGGCCCCTACCAGGGGTCATTTCCACGGAGGGGGTCGCCCCGTTGGGGAACCACCGCGGGCACACCTCGAAGCGTGCCAGAGCACTAATCTCAGGACTTCAACGCCACGAGTCAAGCCGACTGTTACGCACTGGCGATCCTGAATCGTGCCAGAACGCCGCTCCTGGGACTCACTTCAACGCCGCGAATCAAGGTAACTGTTGCGCCCTGGCAATCCCGAAGCGTTTCAAAACACCGTTTGTGATACGTTAACCATGAGAACCAGTGAAACTCTTGCTGATGTCTAAAACGGATGTGCGCGGCGCGCAGGCGAGAACAACGTTTTGAAAAGGAGCCGCCCTCAATCCGGGAAGCTCTTGCAAATGATTGGAGCGAACTCGCGCGGCGCGAAGGCGAGAGCCACATTTTGAAAACGAGCCGCCTTCAATCCGTGAAGCTCTTGCAAGGTTTTAGAACGAATGTGCGCGGCGCGAAGTCGAGAACCACATTTTGAAAGCGGCCCGCCCTCAATCCGTGAAGCTCTTGCACATGTTTAACATGAGTGCGCGCGGCGCTAAGGTGAGAGCCACATGTTGAAAACGGCCCGCCCTCAATCCGTGAAACTTTCGTAAAGGTCAAGAAGAACGAATGTGCGCGACGCTCAGGGGATAGCCGCATTTTGAAAACGGCCCGCCCTCAATCCGTGAAGCTGTGACAATGTATGAGGATCAGGGCCATACATGGTGAGGAAGTCTCATGCGACGCGCCCGGTCCGCCCTTTCAACTGGCCTCTGGGTGTGCAACAGGGGGGGCTATCCACAAGCAAAAGGAATGGAGGAGGAGGAGAAGGAGGAGGAGAAGGAGGAGGAGGAGGAGGGGGAAGAGGAGGAGGAGGAGGAGGAGGAGAAGGAGGAGGAGGAGGAGGAGTGGCAGGAGAAGGAGGAGAAGGAGGAGTGTCAGTAACAGAAGAAGCAGCAGCTGGATGATCAGCAGCACAAACAGCAGCAGCAGGAGGAGGAAGAGGAGGAGGAGGAGGAGGAGGAGGAGGAGGAGGTGATGCGGGTTCCGAGAAGCAGGAAAAAGCGAGACGGCCGTCGGTACATCCTCCTTGCGCCTCGGGATGCCCCTGGAGGTCCGAGATCACCCCCAAGCAATTGCAAACACGTTGCTCCTCCCTCCACCTCTTCTGGGAGGAGGAGGAGGAGGAGGAGGAGGAGGAGGAGGAGGAGGAGGAGGAGAGGAGGAGGAGGAGGAGGAGGAGGAGGAGGAGGAGGAGGAGGAGGGGGCGGAGAAGTCCTCGGGGCCTCCTGGGCGCAGGCGGCGCACGGCGGAGGTGCGACCGGTGCGTTGGCCTCCGCCCCGCCGCCGCAGCCGTCGATGGCCTTGGCAAGGCCCGCCTGAAGCGGGGGGGGGGGCATCGGGACGAGCAGGTTTGGGGAGGAGAGGAAGAGGAGGAGGAGGAGGAGGGAGGAGGAGGAGGAGCAGGAGGAGGAGGAGGCGGAGGAGGAGGAGAAGGAGGAGGAGGGGGGGGAGGTGGAGGCGGGACAGGCGGGAGGGCTGGGGAGGAGGAAGAGGAGGAGGAGGAGGAGGAGGGGAGGAGGAGGAGGAGGAGGAGGAGGAGGAGGAGGAGGAGGGAGAGGCGGTGGAGGCGTGGGAGGGGGAGGAGGAGGAGGAGAGGAGGAGGAGGAGGAGGAGGAGGAGGAGGAGGAGGAGGAGGAGGAGGAGGGGGAGGGGGAGGGGGAGGAGGTGGAGCAGGAGCAGGAGCAGGAGCTGGAGGAGGAGGAGGAGGAGGAGGAGGAGGCAAAAGAGGAACACAAGGAAGAAGACAAGGAGGAAAGGAGTAGGATCACACGGAGGCCCGCGGTCCCAAGTGAGACGAGGGAGACTTCACCCCTGCATGCAGGGGCGACACTTTGCTTGCAAGGGATGTTAGAAGGGATACCCAGCTGCCTGCGGCAAGTCCAGCCACCGTGCCAGCTCAGCACCTTGGGTGGTGATTGTTCGGCGGGTGCCCATGAGGCCGTAACATGTGGCACCCCGTCTCTCGAAGCAAGTCCGTGGTCCGCGTTTGTTTGTCGCGGCTGGAACGAGCTCACCGCGGCGGGAGCGGCAGCTGGGATGCGGAAGCACTATGAGCCGCCCACAGCGGAAGGCGACTCCCCGGCAACTTTCCATTCAGTGCTCGTGCCCCAGCGCGGCCGGTTTCTTTGGTGCACAGACAAGTTTCCGACAGGACTGGCGGGAGAACAGCATGCCCCCGAGGGCGAAGGAACGGAGGAGGGTGAGAAAGAGGAGGGCGGCGAAGAGGATGACGATGCGGAGGAGGCGGATCTGGAGGAGGGGGGTTGGAGCAGGAGAAGGAGGAGGAGGAGGAGGAGGAGGAGGAGGAGGAGGAGGAGGAGGAGGAGGAGGAGAGGGAGGAGGAGGAGGAGGAGGTGAAGGAGGAGGAGGAGGAGGTGAAGGAGGAGGAGGAGGAGGAGGAACGAGACCGGAATAATCTCATGACCTCTTGGCAAGAGAGACATACCCCACCCGACGCCAGCACAGCCTCTTACAGGCAACCACGCAAAGCAACCAACTCCTACCCACAACGCTGACCGTCACGACAGCCATTCCCAGAACCCCTCCACGGCCCCTACGGCTAACCTTCACATCGACACCACGACGACAGATGCCGACATGACGGGCACCAGCAGACCAATACCTGAAAGATACAAGGCCCTCCCCCCGACAACCTCCAATACCAGGACGTGCCAGTCAAACCACCACTACCACGTTACGCTACACAACCAGCACAGCACGCGGAGCCCAACAACCCGATCAGCCAAGACATCCACTCACAGCTGGCGGGCAAACGACGACTGGGGCCCAAGGACGACCATGGCTACGACCGACCAGCAGGGCGAAGTCCCGAAGAATGGACTACAGGCCAAACCGACCTCCAAGCCGACACCCCCCGACACCAGGAACCGAGGGTCAAACCCTTGCCCAACAAGACGGACAACATGCGCATACCCCGTAATCCCCACCTCACCCAAGAACGCACTAAATCCAAGGACCAACGCAGCAATGGCAAAAGTATACGTTGAAGCGCAGGCTCTCATCGAGGAGACACCCGTCGGATCAAGGAGCGGTACGACAGCAGTGGACATGGGGCGCCGGCTAGTCGACACGATCAGCAACACCCAACATGTCATCAGGAGCACGATCTTCAAGATCCACGCCCACACTATCCTCAAGGACAGCATCGCTTACCTGACCAACCCCAATGACCTGTACGATCCAACACGCGACGTGTACCTGCAAGGACGACACGAGCACGACCAAGTTATGCAGTACTTCAGCGACGCACTGCCGCGCAACCAGGGCGCCCCACCAGAACCCATACCCCGGCCCTTTACCACAACAGAGACCGAGAGGATCCTCACGCGATACGTCATCCACCAGATGAGCAGCCTGATGGCTTACCCACCGGTCGTTGAAAGTAGGTATTTTGGGATTCCCAGATTCCAATCTACTTTCAGCGCCTTCCTACTTCAACGATCGAGTGGCTTCACCTTTCCCGTCCTCCTTAGGGGGCTGGCGGACAACCAATCTATTTTCAACGCTTTCCTACTTCATGTTTTTAACTACTTCTTCGAACTGATGGGTACAGTCATGGCGCTGAAGCATCGCAAGTTTGCCGGGGAGCCCCCGCTCCGTAGGATTCGGCAGAGGGGGGGTCGGCGGCGAGCGAGGGGGGGAAGTGAGAAGGAGAAGGCCTTCTCAGAAGGCGGCGGGACTTCTCAGCAGCCCTCGCGCCTTCTGAGAAGTTTTCTGCGTCTTCGGGGAAGGCTTAGAAAACCTCTCAGAAGGCCAGGGGACTTCCGAGCCTTCTGAGAAGGCCCGCCCCTTCTCACTTCCCCCCCGGGCTCGCCGCCGAGAGGGGTCATTCTCGAAAACGTCAGACAACGACGAGGGAACGCTTCGTACAACCCTCATGGGAACGACGAGGGAACGCTTCGGAACGAGACACATAGACGAGGCAACGACGAGGGAACGCTTCGGAACGAGACACATAGAAGAATCGCTCTCCCGAACCACGCAAACTTCTCCCGCACAAGGCCCATCGGGAGACAACCAGCAGGACTCGGCCAGCACCGAACTAATGAACACCAATCTCAGCAGACTCCCCACCACCGACAGCTTCGGCCAAGGACTGGCACTCTCAAAGGGCAAGCGCATGATACCGCAGGACTTACGACGTCTACTACTCCAGCCTTTTGCGCAGTTCCACGAGCTGCGCAAACGAAGGACGCCTACCACCCAGATCGTGACTATTGACAGGAGCGATGCAGCAAGCAACACTACCTACATCTTCGACACGCTCTACCCGATCCTGCAATCGGACGTCAGCGCGGGCAACGACGGCAACGATGAAAAGTATTGCCCTGCCCTGGCTACGACCACAGGATCGACACCAGCACGGTGGGAACACCCCCCTCCACCAGCCAGACATGCGACCGCCACTGGCAGCAGCAAACGGGAACCGGGAACCGCTACGCAAGCGGACAACCCCAACGCGGTCCTGCAGTCAGCGTGATCGACGTCAACTCCGACGCCTACCGCAATACAGACGCTGAGGCCCGTGGCACGGGCCAACCTCGCCAGAGGTGCAGCTGCGGTGAAAACCACCCTCATGCCCAGAGAGGACCTGCCTCACGGAGGCCTATCACTGCGTCTCTCGCTCCACCAATTTCACTCCCAAGCGACCGACCTCCACCAATTCTGTTCTCAGGCTCCCAACCGACCGATTCATACACCAGCTGTCCCCAGATTGACACCTGACCTCTGCACTATCCTTTTGCCAAACCGCCGCGCTCACAGTCTACGACAGCAGCAGCAGCAGCAGCAGCAGCAGCAGCCGGACTACATGATCCCACCTGCAGCACGTGGCTTCATTTTTCCAGCACGGCATGTCCTCTTCCTCTACGGCAAGAATTACGGCACCCCCGTTTCACCATCAGCATGCGGCGTCGGCTGCATCCTTGAAGTGCACATGTGCTGCAGGGGGCCCACGGTAGGACAGGGCTCCCAAACCCGCCATAGCTTTCTCACCCACACGAGAGTCCATATGACGTGGCAACAAACAGCATCACCACACGGCGAGTGCTACAACCTCACGGAGTGCGCTATGCTACGCAGTGTGTCCGTGGTCGAACAGGGTCACCAACAAGATGTTACTCACCGACGTATTGCAGCTTTGCGGACGCAGCAATATCCGACGTAGAATTTGTGGTCTCGCGGTCATGCAGGGCTCCGAAGCCCGCCGCACTTTTGTCACCCACAATGGTCCGGATCAACGCCATGTGATGGAAGAATCCTCTCACGCGCCTCCTCGGTGTCATCTTAATCCCGCCATCTGTGTGGCCTCGGAGGCATGCGTCACGAAGGACCAATCATCAGTGTGGCCACTGCGAGTCCTCGGCCAGTCTCCCACTGCCGTCCGGCTGCCCACTCCCTCCACGTGTTCGCCCAGATCCATCCCCACTAACCTTCGCCTTCGCCACTCCTGTGGGGCGGGGCGGGGGGGGGGGGGGTGCATTTATCAGGGGGGAGGGGAGGAGGCGAACGCCGCTGGCCGTCCTGGCGAGGACCAGGCCGGCCGCGGATAGCAGAGCCATCCACGCAGAGCTACGGATCGCACGCGCTCGGAACCCGCAGAGTCCACTCGGCAGCCGGCCCCTCGGCGGCGAGCCACGGGGGGGGGGAAGTGAGACGGGGCGGGCCTTCTCCGAAGGCTCGGAAGTCCCCTGGCCTCCCGAGAGGTTTTCCAAGCCTTCCCCGAAGACGCAGAACTTTCCTCAGATGGCTCGTCGGTGCCTGACGTTTTCGAGTCTGGGGGCAAGTGAGAAGGGGCGGGCCTTCTCAGAAGGCTCGGGAGTCCCCTGGCCTCCTGAGAGGTTTTCCAAGCCTCCCCCGAAGGCGCAGAACCTTCGTCAGATGGCGCGAGGGCTTCTGAGAAGTCCCGCCGCCTTCTGAGAAGGCCTTCCCCTTCGCACTTCCCCCCTCGCTCGCCGCCGATACTGGGAGGGGCGAGCGGGCAGCGCTGCCAGACGCCCCGGCGACGGCCACAGGAGCCGCCGAGCACTGCGCTGGCGAGCGCAGCGACCTGCGCACAGCTGGCCCACGGCCGCCACACCCTAGCTGGGCATCAGGCTGCCCTCCCGTGCCACCCATCTCCCTATTCGGCCGACCTCTCGCCTACGCTCACCACGCCCATCTCACCGTCCTCCGCATCTCATGGCTCTACGCTGGCCGTCTACCCCCGCCCGCCTCCCTGGAGCACACACCCCACAGGAGGAACAGCCTCCAATTACCACTTCGGCCACGCGACAGCCGCCACTTGGCGGGGAGGGATGGGATCATGTGGGCTGGGAGAGGGCGCAACGCCCTCCGTGGCCGCCGTCACGGGATGGCGCAAGCTTCCACGCGCCTGGTGGAAGCCCTGGTGGTGCCCCCAGTTTCTCCATTGGGAACCTTTCGCCTCCCTCGGTGGGCGAGGGCCCCCTCGGCAGGAATGGGGGCAACGACCTTCGGATCTCCCAGAGGCAGGGGAGACGCCCTTGCGCCATCCCGCTTCGGCGAGTGTGGCCACGGCCGCACTCTGAACTTCAGCTACCACTAACTGCCGCCTCGACTTTCAGCTTTTGCCAACTGTTGCCGCTTAACCCACCCTTCTCTCCTCCCTCCATTCAAGCCTCCTGCTCCCCACTTTTATCCCCCGCCCTGGGTTCAGGGAGACATCGTTACACCCTCCTTCGGGGGGGTCACCCGGTCGCTTGCCCATATTGCGAAGGCCTTGCGGCCGGTGCCGCCGACCCTGAGGTTGGGGAGGAGGGCGCGGAGCATGGGGAGGAAGATGAGGAGGGGGACAGGAGGAAGAGGTGGATGAGGAGGAGTAGGAACACAGGGGGGGAATGAAGAGGAGGATTGTGAGGCGAGCAAGGTCGCGGGGGGGGCACGAGCGAAGGGCAGGGGCGAGTAGAGCGTGGCGATCATGAGGAGGAAAAAGAGGGAGACAATGGCGAGAATGTTGACGATGTTGACGACGACGCCGGTTGCCTATCAGGACCATTCGGGGCGTCTTGAAACCCTCCTGGGGCGACTCACAGGCTTCGTTCGCTGTTGTGGAGCTAGGTCCGGCATCTTGGGCATCTGGGAGGCCACGGAGGTGCACCTAGATTTGGAGGGCGCTGGGGCCTGGACCTGGGCCAGGGCCCGGGCTGGAGCGGGCCAGGAGCCAGGGCCGGGGCCGGGCCGGGGCCGAGGCTGGGACTGGGGCCGGGGCCAGGGCCGGGGCCGGGCGGGGGCCGGGCTGGGGCCGGCCGGGGCCGGGCCAGGGCCAGGGCCGGGGCTGGCTGGGTCCGGCGCCCCAGGGCCGGGGCCGGCGGGGCGGCAGCCGGGGCCGGCCGGGCCGGGGCTGGGATTCGGGCCGGGGCCGGGGCCGAGGCCGAGACCGGGGCCAGAAGCGGAGCCGGGGCTGGGGCTGGACTGGGGCCAGGGCCGGGGCTGGGGCGTGGTAGAATGCCTCGGCTCTTGGCCCGTCTGAGGCTTTCTGTGGGCCCCGGGGGGGAGTCGTATCTGACCCCCCCTGGGACCCCCGCCCAGGACCCCCCCCCCCTGCTCGTGACCCCCCCCCCGGACCCCTCCCCGGGACCCCCCTCCCCCCCGGCGGGGGAGGGATCACAGGGAAGGGGCTTCCCTTCGACTCAATGACAACGTTGCTCGCGAGGGGGAGGCCTTGGAAAAGCGGCGGGGGAGCGGCAACGGATCCAGGGAAGAGGATGGAAGGGGAGGAGGGGGGACGGGCCCAGGGAAAGGGGGAGTGCAGGGACAGGACTTGATTGGCCCAGGGAAAGGGTGGGCGCAGGGACAGGAGACGACGGAGACGACGACGAACGAACGACGGGAACGGACAAGTCCCTCACACACGCCGACACAGGGTCGGCGGATTTCTCGTACGGATAACTAGTTTGATCCACCCCCCAGGATCAACGGCCCCTGGGAAGGGGGGGATGGCACCGTCCAGGAGACGCGCATGCTGTCAGGTGTCAGGCGCTAGGAAGGGGAAAAGGAGAAAGGAGGGGGAGGAGGAGGAGGAGGAGGAGGAGGAGGAGGAGGAGGAGGAGGAGGAGGAGGCGGAGGCGGAGGCGGAGGCGGAGGCGGAGGAGGAGGAGGAGCTGGCTGAAGGAGGGAGGGCGGGAGGAGTAGGGAGGGGGAGGGGGCCAAGGAGGGACGGGGACGGGGCCTGGGGGCGAGGCTGGCTTGGAGCCGGAGGGCACCTCTGCTGGGCCGCTGGTCGCGGGGCCGCCGCTGGCGGAGGAGCCGGCGGAGCCTGGCCACGCTTCCCGCCGCGAGCGCCGAACGGAGAGGGCCTCGGGGTGTTCTGGGGCGGCCAAAGCCATAGGGGTGACACGTCGGGGCGCTTTGTCTCCTCTCCCTAATCCTCGTCCTCCCTCCCCCTCTTCCTCCCAGCTCTTCCTCCCTGCTCCTCCACAGCTGTTCAATATGAAAGATGTTTGTCAGCATGGGCCCCAGGCAGTAAGTTAAGGCACTGTGGATGCGCAAGCAGTGTGGTGCAAGTTACGTTGAGCAAGCTATGTGGTGCAACGCCCTCCGAAACCCAACCGATCTGATCCTCTGCATCCCTCGTGGTTGTCGCGGCCACGTGATGGCAACGGGGCGGCAGCTGGTGGCAACGTGGCGAGTCCTCGAGAGAGCCACACAGCGCACGAGGCGGCACCGAGGCAGCAACGGGCGGCAACGGGCGGCAACATCCCGGCAGTGAGGCGCCATTGCAGCTTGAAGGCGTAAGCTATGCGGTGTACATAAGCTATGTGCTGAGAGCTACGTTTGTGTAAGCTATCCGGCGTCGGCAATGGAAGTCAAGTCTTCGCGGTGCAAGCTGCGTGGTGCAAGCTGTGTGGTGCAAGCTACGAGGCGTGAACTACGTGGCGTGAGCTGTGCGGTGTGAGCTCTGCCGTGTAAGCTGTGCGTGGTGCAGCGAGCGCTACGTTGTGCAAGCTGTGCGGCGCAAGCCACGTTGCGTGAGCCGCCTCGGCGGCCACGGGCGGCGCCGCGGCGAAACTTCGACGTGCGGTGTATCCTCCTCGTCCTCCCGCCCGCGGGGCGCGAGCGGGCCCAGGGGAGCCTGGACTATTTGCCCCAGGGACGCTCGCTCCTCCGCCCCCGCATTCTCCTCTTCCTCTTCCTCTTCCTCCCTCCCTCCCTCCCTCCCTCCCTCCCTCCCTCCCTCCCTCCCTCTCCTCCTCCTCCTCCTCCTCCTCCGCCGCATCATCCGCCGCATCATCATCATCATCATCATCATCATCATCATCATATCATCATCATCATCTCATCATCATCATCATCATCCATCATCATCATTATCATCAGCATCATCATCAGCATCATCATCATCATCATCATCATCATCATCATCATCATCATCAGGTGGAGGCGGCCACGGGCGGCAACGCGGCGAAGCCTCGCCGGACCCACCCAGCGCACGAGGCGGCCACGCAGCGGCCACGGGTGGAGTAGGCAGCCACGACGCGGCCACGGGCGGCAAGGTGGCGAACCCTCGCCAGACACACCCAGCGCACGAGGCGGCCCCAAGGCGACCACGGGCGGGAGGAGGAGGAGGAGGAGGAGGAGGAGGAGGAGGAGGAGGACGCGGGCTGCGGCGGAGAACCGCCCTTGCGCCCGCACTGCGCAGGAGGAGGAGGAGGAGGAGGAGGAGGAGGAGGAGGAGGAGGAGGAGGAGGAGGAGGAAAGGGACGAAGCGGAGGAAGACAATGAGTAAGCAAAGGAGGGGTCGGAGGCAGCGGCGCAGACGGGGACAGGGATGGAGACTGCGACGGAGAAGGAGGAGGAGGAGGAGGAGGAGGAGGAGGAGGAGGAGGAGGAGGAGAGGCCGAATCACAGCACGCACTTTCGCTGGATGCCCGCGTGGACTTGTGCTCTTATCGCGTGCTTGCTGTCTCTCTTGTGTCTGACGCGTTTGTCTACTGGTGCATGCCACACCGCTGCGTTCATCACTTACACTGCTTTACCAGGTGCAGCGAGCATTGATGTTTCATAACGGGGTAACGTAAACCGAGGAGGAGGAGGAGGAGGAGGAGGAGGAGGAGGAGGAGGGGGAGAGGGAGGAGGAGGAGGACGAGGAGGAGGAGGAGGAGGAGAAGGAGGAAGACGAGGAGGGGGTGGGTCTCGTTACGTCTCTGGCTCTGGCTGCCCAGAGGTGCGTGGTACCTGGAGGGTGTTGCGTGCCGCTGGGAGGCTGGCCATGAAGGGGCTGGTCGACTCGGAGCTCCATGAAGGGGCTCCATTCGTCGCGGCCGTCGCCGCCGCCAGCAGTCCAGACTCCGCAACGGATGCGGATTGCGCTTGGCACGGTGCATCATGGTGCAGCTAAAAGGCGTTCTTGGACATGCGAACAATGGCTTCCCTTGTGTTTTCAATGTGTGTCATGGGGATTTCCACCGCCTCCCACCGCCTCCCCTACCTCCGCCGTCGCCGTCGCCGTCGCCGTCGCCGTCGCCGTCGCCGTCGTGGTCGTCGCCGTCGTGGTCGTCGTCGTCGTCGTCGTCGTCGTCGTCGTCGTCGTCCTCGTCGTGGTCGTCGTCGTCGATGGCGCTCTTGTCGACATCGTTGCACGCAGTTCGAAAACCTGACCAGGATGGTGGTTCCCTGAAGGGGCAAGTGGATCGATCTTGAGTGGACTCCGTCGTCGTTCTTCTCCTCCTGCTCCTCCTGCTCCTCCTGCTCCTGCTCCTGCTCGTCCTCCTGCTGCTGCTGCTGATCCTCCTCCTTCCCCTTCTCCTCCTCCTCCTCCTCCTGCTGCTTCTCCTGCTCCTCCTCTTGTTCCTCCTTCGTCGTCTTGGGTATGCTCATCTCCCTACCCTGGCCTCTCTGGCTTTGGGGCTGCAGCGCCTGCGCCGGCGTTGCGTCGGCGTCCGCGGAAGAGCGGCACACGGTGCCAACGGGTCATTAACTTCTGGCCCGTCCATGTTTTCTCAGGGCGCCATCGGGCCACGGGGCCGTCCCCTATGGGCCATAGGGGACGGCCCCGTCACGCAGCAATCGCCGCAGTGGCCGTCGCTCCATGAAGGACTCCAGTCGCCCTCGAGGAGCAGGACCGTGTGATCTTCCTCCGTGCCGTCCCGGGAACTATCAGCACACTGTCGGAGGCGACGCCGGCGTCCTCGCTGTCCCACGAGGCGGGTCTCAGCGTGGCACGGCCAATCTGCACGAGCACACAGTCGAGGCCCAGGGGGTCTATATGGGGGTCTGGGGGGCCTCGGGGCTGCGGCCTTTTGCTTGGCCATCGCACCTGACGGCGTGGGGCCTCTAGGGGGTCAGGGCTTCTAGGGGGGCTACGGAGTCTGGGGAGTGCAGGGAGTCCGCGGGGCTCAGGGAGTCCAGGGCTTCCAGGGAGTCGAGCCCAGAGGGCCCAGGGGTTTCAAGGAGTCCAGAGCGCCCAGGGAGCCCAGGGAGTCTGCGGGGTCCTCCTCCTCCTCCTCCTCCTCCTCCTCCTCCTCCTCCTCCTCCTCCTCCTATCAGTCCAGGTAGCCCAGGAAGTGCAGGCGGTCCACGGCAGGGGGTCCAGGAATCCAGGGGGGCCCCGGGGGGTCTAGGGAGTCCAGGGCGCCCAGGGAGTCCAGGGCGTCAATGGAGGCCGGGAGCTAGGGTGTCCATGGAGTCCAGGGGGGTTCAGGGTGTGTAGCAAGTCCAGGGAGGGAGCCTAGAAGTTGCGAGTCATTCTTGCCCGTCCACAGCGTGCGAAGTCCAGGGAGCCCAGGGAACCCAGGGACTCCACGGGGCCTGGGGGGTTGTCCAGGGCTTTTGGGAAGTGCAGGGGCCCGGGGGGTCCACGGGGTGGAGGGGGCCCAGGGGTCCAGGGAGCGCGAGGGCCCAGGGACTCCAGGGAGCCCGGGGAACCCAGGCAGTCCAGGGTGCCCAGGGGGTCCCAGGAGCCTGGGGGCCCCAGGGTGTAGCTGGGGAGCCGAGGGCGTCCAGAGATTCCATGGGGCCCCACGGAGGGTTTCCAGGAGGTCCAGGAGGTCCAGGGAAGCGTTCAGGGAGGGAGTCTGGGGGTTGCTGGTGTGTGCCCTGCCGTTGGCCCGGGGGGTCCAGGGATTCCTGGGCGCCTAGAGGCCCATGGGGGGTCCAGGGTGCGCACTCCGAGTTTCTTAATCAGTGTGGGGGGCGCCACCCTCGCCGACAGCCCCACATCGACCCCCGTCGCGGGCAGCCACCGCGCGCCGAAGGCGCTCCGACCCCCGTCGCGGCGCGAAGACGAGGCGAGGTTGACCCCCGTCGAGGGGGCACCCCCCCACGCTTATTCAGAAGCCCAAAGTCGGGAGTCAGTCCAAGGAGTCCCAGGAGGCCAGGGGATCCAAGGAATCGAGGAAGTCCAGGGGGAGTTCAAGGAGCCGAGGCAGTCTAAGGAGTCCAGGAAATCCTGGGAGATCAAGGGACTCACGGGCACCAGGGAGTCCAGGAAACTCAGGGGACCCAGGGGGAATTTAGGGAGTGTATGGGGTTACCAAGTTTGCTTGGCCCAGGGAGAGTTTAGGGCATCCAGGGCGTCTAGGGATTTTAGGACTTGTAAGGGGTCCAGAGCGTCCAGATGATCCAGGGAGTTCTGGGGGTCTAGGGGGCCCAGGAAATCCAGGGAGCGCAGGGAGTGCAAGGAGCCCACGGGGCCCAGGGAATCCAGGGAATCGAGGGAATCCAGGGGGTCCAGGGAGTCCAGGGAGTCCAGGCAGTCTAGGGGGTCCATGGAGTCCAGGGGGCCTAGGGGACCCAGGGAGTCAAGAGGGAGTCCAGGGTGCTCAAGCGGCCCAGGGGAGGTTTAGGTCATCTATAGGGGGTGCTAATTTAATTTGGCCCTGGGAGAGTTTAGGGCGTCCAGGGCGTCCAGGGATTCTAGAGAGGCCAGGGCGTCCAGGGATTTCAGGGGGTCCAGGTTGTTTGAGGAGTCTAGGCGATTGGACGTATACGGAGTCTTGTAGGCCCAGGAAGGTAAGGGAGTCCAGGGAGTTCAGGTGTCCAGGGTGTCGAGGGAGTCCAGGGCGGGAGTTTATAAGGTTGCTGATTATTTCCTGGCCTTCGTACCCGACAGTGTCAGGATTCGGGGGGTCGGAGGTTGGGGGGTGAGATCGAAGTGGAATGGAGAGCCCCCCTACCGGGAAATCGATTTCGGTTTCGTGTTCGTGCGTGCCGTGCGGGCGAGGCGAAGCTGCGTGGGCGGGCGAGAGAAAGTCTCCTGTGGCTGAGGCGCGGCCGGACCAAATGTCTCCCTTCCGGGCGGCCGGGGGCCCGCGGTGTCCCGCCGGTGTCCCGCTGGTGTCCCGTGGGCTGTGGCGCCGGACCAAATGTCTCCCCGGGCGGCCGGTGTCCGCGGTGTCCCGCGGTGTCCCGCGGTGCCCCGCGGTGTCCCGCCATTGTCCCGCGGTGTCCCGCGAGGATGATGATGATGATGATGATGATGATGATGATGATGATGATGATGATGATGATGATGATGATGAGATGATGATGGTGATGATGATGATGATGAGATGATGCTGATGATGATGGTGTCCCGATGAAGATGAGGATGATGTTGATGATGGTGTCGATGATGATGATAGTGTCCCGATAGTGAGGATGATGATGCTCGTGATGATTATGTTGATGATGATGACGATGATGGTGTCCCGATGATGATGATGATGATGATGATGATGATGATGATGATGATGATGATGATGATGATGCTGATTCCGATGATGTTGGTGATGATGATGTTGATGGAAATGGTGTCCCGGCGATAATGATGTTGATGATGATGATGTTGATGATGATTATGGTGTCCCGATGATGATGCTGATGATGATGATGATGGTGATGATGATGATGGTGATGCTGATGGTGTCCCGATGATGACCATAATGATAATGACGATGTTGATGATGATGTTGCTCATGATGATGATGATGATGGTGCCCCAATGATGATGATGTTGATGATGATGATGTCGATGATAATGATGCGATGGTCCTGATGATGATGGTGTCCCGAGGATGATGACGATGTTGATAATGTTGATGATGAGAACGATGGTGATCATGATGGTGTCCCGATTCTGATGACGATTCTGATGATGCTGCTGATGGTGATGACGATGACTGTGTCCCGATGATGATGATGTTGATGATGAGATGATGATGGTGGTGATGATGATGATGTTGTCCCGATGATGATGCTGACGTTGATGATGATGTTTCTGATGATGATGATGATGATGATGATGATGATGATGACGGTGCCCTCATGATGATGACGATGTTGGTGATGTTGGTGATGATGTTGATGATGTTGTTGATGATGATGATGATGATGACGTTGATTGTGAGAGCGATTGTGATTTCGATAGTGAGATCGATATTGAGACCGAATGTGAGGTCGACTGTGTGATCGATTGTGAGATCGATTGTGAGATCAATTGTGAGATCGATCGAATGAGATAGATCGAGTGAGATCGATTGTGAGATCGATCGAGTGAGATCGATCGAGCGAGACCGATAGTGCGATCGATACTGAGATCGATAGTGAGACCGATCGAGTGAGACGTTGGTTCCCCCCCCCGAACCTCCTTATCACCCGAAGGGTGGTCGTATAGGTAAGGAGTTAGGGCTTCTAGGAAACTCAGGCAGTCCAAGGGGTCCAGGCAGGCTAGTGAGTCCACTGATTCCTGGGGGTCTATGAAGTCCAGGGGGTCCAGGCTGGCGGTCCAGGGTGGCAGGGAATCGAAGGGTTCTAGAGGTTTTTGCCCGGGCTTCCAGGGAGTCCAGGAGTCCAGCGGGGGCTAATTTTTGCCCGGCCCTCGAACCTGACGGCGTGGGATTACTAATTGTTGCGGTCCCCGCTTTGTCCATCCCACTTCAACGTTTTCTCTTATCCTTTCTCCCTCCTCATTGTTGTGCCGTCATTGTCCGGTGCCGCCCTGGACTTGTAATTTGAGCGCCTCTGGACTCGATTTCCAAGAACAGTTGTTTGTTGATTTCCCCATATTACCCCAGGTGTTTGTTCAAATAAAATGCTCCTGCCGGGGTTGGCACGTAGTTTTTTACAAAGGAAAGTCTTGAGGCTTAGACTGTGTTGTTGGCCCCTGGTCTGTAACAACAGCGGCTCCCGCCTGATACGTCCTCAACATATATTCCAAATCGCGCTTTCGCGCGGGGCTTCCTGACAGTCTAGTCAAGAATCGCGCTCTCGCGTGGCACTGCCTCGCAGTTTATTGAGACGCCAAGCTTTCGACACACAGGAATCACGCTCTCGCTCTGGACTTTCTCACGATTTACTTGGGAGTCGCGCCATCGCTCAAGACTTCCTCGCGATTCACGTTGGACTCACGCGTCAGCGACTCGCCTGCTCGATCCTGCCCCTTGGGCCCGCCTTCCCGACCCACCCGTAGGGCCTACCCGCCCGATCTGCCCGTCTGATTCTGCCATGCATGGGTTGTCTGCTCCTAGCATCCCTCCTGCTAACCTCTCTCATGGTCCATCCTTCTCCCTCCCCCGTGTCCCTTCTTTCCATCCGTCCTCTCTTCCCTTGTTTTGGGGGCTGCGCCAAATACACGTCGCATGTAAGGACGATAGAGCCCCAAGGGGATACTATCGAAGATGAAGAGGGTGGGTAGCGAGGGTTCGGGATACATGTGTTCTCAATGGTACGCATACGGATAAGAGCGAACAGTCTTAAGATGGTTGTTGTTATTGTTGTCGTCCTGCCCGCGACCCACCCACGACCCGCCCACGACCAGCCCGCGACCCGCTCACGACCCAACCGCGACCAACCCGCGACCTTCCCGCGACCAGCCCGCGACCCGCCCACGACTCACCCGCGACACACCCGCAACCCACCCGCAACCCACCGGCGACCTCGTCCCACCCGCGACCATCGGCTCCTACGGCGGGCTCGTTGTGCAACGTGTTACAAGTCGACGCCTGCTCGGGGCCCATTCAAATTTGCGTTCGACCCTCGCAAGCTGCCGACGACGTCCCCCGCCCACTTACTCTTATCCGAATCTGCGGGAGCTGTAACAAATAGCGGTATCCTTCGCCCAATCACGCCACTGCGCCTGGGTTGTAGGTCAGAGGCCTCTTGGATGCCTGTGGGTTGGGCACCTTTTGGAGGATGGTATTTGGAGGCCTCTTTGTGGAGGCATGCTGTCGGTCTGGGGGGTCTTCCTGGGGTGGAGGACGGGACATGTCTATTCGAGTTGCCCCTCTTGGGGCCCTGCCGTCTTGGGAGCCTCTCGGGCCGTCTTGGGGCCCTCTTCGGCCGTCCAGAGGCCTTCTCGGAGGCTCTTGGGCCGTCTTGATGCGAACTGAAGGGCCTTGGGCCGTCTCTGAGCGCCGGAAGCTTGAAAAGACGAGAAGGCCCACAGTTTTTCGAAACCAATGGAAAATCAATAACTTTGGCCTCTCTGGGCCCTCTTCGCGCGTCTTGGGGGCTTCTTGGGCCGTCTGGAGGCGGCGGATAAAGTACATACACATATGTGTACATATGCACATGTATCGATGTGTATGTGTACACACACGCACACATTTACGTGTATCTTCTTGTATACATGCATATACAGATAGATCGAGAGAGAGAGAGACACACAAAACACAGAGCGAGAACATCGGAGAAAGAGAGAGAGAGAGAGACGCAGACAGCAAGGCAAACCGAGAGAGACAGGCAGGCAGGCAGGCAGAGAGACAAATAGATAGACATCCAGACTGAGACAGGCAGACAGGCAGACACACGGACGAACGGACGGGTGGACGGACAGGCAGACAGAAGAGGGCAAGGACAGACATACAGTGTCAGCAGGAACCTATGCACATAGAAACAACATGGCAGATATGGAGACAGCAGCAGCAGCAACAGCAGGAAGAGAGAGAGAGAGAGACAGAGCGAGAGAAGAAATCAGTTTCTTCGTGACGTGTCATCGGGGATGCTCTGACCTGGCATTCCAGCTGTGGGGGCGTCGCATGGGGGACGGGCACGGATGGAGCGCGAGGGGCCAAGGAGGGAGGGAAGGCTCGTGCTCCTTCTCTTCCTCCTCCTGCTCTTCCCTGCCTTTCCTGCGATTGCTGCTCCTCCATCTCGTCGAAAGCGCCGTGGCTCGAAGCTCAGTTTCTGCATCTCGGCCTCGGCGGCGTCGGCTTCCAAGCATGTCGGCGTTCGATCGCGGAGGGGAGGGGAGCGCAGGCATCGGGGGGAGATGGGGTTCAGCTGAGGCTGAGAAGGGATGCGCAGGCAGTGCAAGAGGAATATCGCCCACATGATCAAGCTCTCAAGCTCGGGAGGGGCTAGAATCGCCTTTGGAGCTTCTGACATTCGACCTTTTGTCTTCGCCCTTTCCTTTGATCGAGATTTGGATTTTTCATGTCCTTCACATCGGGTTGAAATACTTCATCGTGTGTAGCCTGCTTACAGACAGTGAGTGCTTGACGAAAAAGGTGGGGATCATGAGGAGCAGGGATGCACAAGAACGGCAGCTGTGGGCGCTGGCTCGCGTGAGTTCTCCGGGGGGAGGTCCCAGAACCCTGGCTGTTGAGCCTACGGTCCAGAGCTCCCAGAGTGGTTGGCAATCCACGGCGATATCTCGTCCGTCGTCGTTGTCGTCGTCATCATCGTCGTCGTTGTCATGTCGGAGGGGTGGAGGTGGAGGAGGGGGTGAAGAGGTCAGGTGCACTTGGATCGGTTGGTAATCCACAGTGATGTATTTCCCACATGCACACCAGTGGTCCGTGATGGTCCTCGGCTGGCTCCCCACCGACCAGGTCTCGGGGAGGAGGGGGTGCAAATGGAGGAGAGAGGGGCGGGAAGGAGTGGGGATCTGGGGTTGGAGTAGCAGAGTGGGAGCATGAAGGGCGGAGGGAAGAGAGCTTCCCTTCCCCCTTTCCTTCTCTCCACTCTTCCCCGCCCATTTCCTTCCAATCTCCCCTCTTCCCTTCTCCCCCTTCTCCTCCCCCTTCTCCTCTCCACCCTCCCCTCCCTCTCCTTTCCCGTCCCCTCTCCCTTCCCTTCACAATTACACAATATGAATACTACTCTCCTCCATCCCCTGATGGCGTGCGGAAGATAGCGGGTACCCCTCCGCGTACTGTTCTTTACGCACACGATTTCCTGGAGTTGGGTTTTCGCTGGGTTTTTTCAAAATGATGCTCTCGCTGAGGCGCGGGCTTCATGTTCGGGCTTCCGCTCGTTCCGAATCGTGCTCCCGCTGCAGCGCTGGCCTCATTTCCGTGCTTCCGCTCGTTCCGAATCGTGCTCCCGCTGCAGCGCTGGCCTCATTTCCGCACTTCCGCTCGTTCCGAATCGTGCTCCCGCTGCAGCGCTGGCGTCATTTCCCGTGCCATGCCACGGCATGCAATACTATGCTAGGTTGCGTTCCGCTGCGCGATGCCATGCCTTCAGCTGCGGCTGTCATATCCAGTGCGTAAGTGCCACGTCATGCTATGCCATGCTACGTTTTGATATTCAACGCCATGTTATGCAATGTTATGTTCGGGGCCGCTGTGCGATGCCATGATTTGCGTTGCAAAGCTTTGTGATGCAATTCTTCACTACGCCACGCCACGCCATGCTGTGACATACTACGCTTTGCGGTGCTCTTCTACTCCATGCCATGCCGTGCTCAAGAATGCATCGCGTACCCTTTCGGGATCATTGCCCTGCTCAACATCCGACTGTGCGAGTAGAGAGGGGATCTACGCCATGGTAAGGGATGGGAGGGAGGGGTAGGATGTCAGATATGACGCGAGCGCACCTAGCTTGTCCCTTCCCCTCTCCCTTCCCCTCTCTCACTTCCCCCCTTTCCCCCCTCCCCCCCTCCCTCCCTCTCCTCTCCCTTGGGGGACGTGCGCGGGTCAAGGGCAGGGCAGGGCGATGAGCCGAAGGCAGCCTGTCGGCCTTACCCTCAGGCTCTGGTTCCGCCTCAGAGCGAGGAGGGAGGGGAGGTAGGAGGTAGGAGGGGGAGGGCGAGGAGGAGGAGGAGGAGGAGGAGAAGGAGGAAGAGGCGGTGGAGGAGGAGGAGGAGGAGGAGGAAGAAGAAGCGGTGGAGGAGCAGGAGGATGAGGAGGAGGAGGACGAGAGGAGGAGGAGGAGGAGGAGGAGGAGGAGGAGGAGGAGGAGGAAGAAGCGGTGGAGGAGGAGGAGGAGGAGGAGGAGGAGGAGGAGGAGGAGAGGGAGGGGGAGGTGGCACGATGTTTACCGAATCGCAGTGGTATTGATGATCTCACTGCCCCAAGTTTGGGGGTTCGAGAAGCGCTCCTTCAGGTTTACCGTTGAATGTGCTCAAACTGTGCCGGGTGACGAAGGGAAGACCAGCGAGCATGCACGCGTCGAGGCTAGGCACTTTCAGTGGCCCAGACCTGTCCATGTCCAAGCAAGTTGTGGCCCTACAATTAGTGGCCCCATATCAGGGAAGACATGGAGCTTTACCTTAGATAACTTCCATGTGCGTTGCAACACTTTCCAACCAACGCTGGTGGCATCGATGAAAGTGGGGACTTCGTTTGCATCAAGCGTTTTCACGATGAGGCTGAGGACGATGACTTCGCGCGTTTACTGCAAAAGGCCATTGTCAAACATCAGTAGCATGACGTGTTGATCAGTGCGCGCTCTTCAGCAACATTTAGTTCATGTTCATGGCGGCCGATGAGTGGACAGAACAAGCCCGATCAGATTGCCCCACGTGCCCGATGATGTGTGCGCAATCGCGCACGGGTGACTCGGGTGTCGTCGAATCGGTCCAGCAAGGCGTGGTATTTGCTCGGTTCCTTGCCTCCTGAACGAGGTAACGGATGGTCCTTGGGCCGTTGGCTGGTTCGAAGGTAACCACCTAGAGTGTGAAAGTAAGGTCCACACATATCTCAACATCGCACAGGAGCAGTTCCGCGAATGGTGCAATATCACTTGGACATACCAGTTTGTGTATCATGTTGAGGTCGTGGCAAGAGCTGGAGCCCCAAATGAGTCAGAGGATTTCAGTGAAACGGATGATCTGATTGCACAGATAATTCAGAGAGCAGTGCGATTCGCCGCATCATGGTCGTGTATGGATCGGCCTTCTTCGATACGATGAAGAAGGTACCAGATGAATATTATCTCGCCGAGATTGCCGAACACGCCGACCTGTGCAGGTGTCCTAATGGATGCGGTCTGGTGGACGGGCCCCGACATTGAGAAGACGTGATTCAGTTGTTTCCAGCTTTAGCTTGAGACTCGGCAGTGGGAGGATCCTGTGCCCAAGACAAGCATGGCCAACGACCAGACATCACTGCTCGTGCCACCTGTGAGGCCGCCAGTTGTTCTGACAGACGTGCTCGTTGGGTACCCAGAATTGCCTTCCACGCCATGGATGTCCCGCGATGCGTTCGGGATCACGAGATGCATGGCTGGCTTTACGTGCCCAGCGGGGCCGGCGGCGCTGCGGTCGGCGAGAGAGCG